CCCCCGGTGCCACCCCGCGGAGCGCGGCTACCTCCCGGGGCCGGAGGAGCCCCGCCGCATCCCCGCGCGGAGCCCCGCGGAGCATCAACATGCTGGGCTGGAGGGTGGCCCTGTGGCTGGCCGGCTGGACGGCGTGCGCCCGGGAGCTGCCCCCCGACTACGACTACCCGTACGGGCTGAGCGAGGAGGACCCCGCCGAGGGGATTGATTATAAGGACCCTTGTAAAGCCGGTAAGTGGGATGCTCCCCCCGCCCGGAGCTCACCTGCTGCTCCTTTGGGGCGGAGGGGGGGCAGCAGCAAGTGGACTGGGACTTGGGGACCTTGCTCTCCCGCTCCCACAAAGCCGCGGCTGGGGATGGTCCTGCTCGGAGCCGACGGCTTCCCCGCAGTGTGCGGGACGCGGTGCCCCGCTCCCGCTCCCCCTCCCCCTCCCGGGCAGCGCCGCGGCCTCCTGCGGTCCCGGGCAGGCGGGAGAGCCGGGGGGTCTCCCCGGCCCCGCGCAACCCTGGCTGCTGCTCGCACGTGCTGGGTGCTGCCACCACGTGAGAGGAGTTCCTGTGCCCCCCGTCCCCTTCCCTCCTCTCCCTCTGCCAGCTCTCCTCCTCCCCCAGCCACCTTCCCTTGCAACCTGCTTCTTAAATCGTGGCCACTTACTTAGTTCAAAGCACTTCGCCCAGAGGGAGCAGCCCCGCTCTCGAGAGGGTCTCTAGCTGCCTGGCTTGTCCTAGAGATCCACCCTTTGCCCATCCTCTGACACCACTTGACAGTGTCCTTTGCAACTGTGCCCGACTTCCAGCTCCCTGGCATCTCTTTTGATGTATTGACCTTGGTCCAGTGGGCACTTGCTTCAGACAGGTTTCCCGATGCTCAGTATAATTATCTGCTCATATAACTATGTAAACGAATACTAAGTAACTCTATACACAGAGTTCCTTCCTTTCAACTCCACTCTGAGTTTGTGTGCATGTGGGTACAGGGGGGAGACCAGCGCAGGATTGCATTTAAAACCACATCAGACTAACGCAGGGGTGGGCAAAATGTAGTCCGGGGTCCAAATGCGGCCCGCCAGACCATTCTATCCGGCCCACAGGGCCCCTAAAAAAATTTAGAAAATTAATATTTATCTGCCCTGGGCTACCTGTCATGTGGCCCTTGATGGCTTGCCAAAACTCAGTAAGCGGCCCTCTGCCCAAAATAATTGCCCACCCCTGGACTGTTTGTGGCCTTATTTAGTGTATTAAGGGCTGTTTATATTGCCTTTGTCTAAGAAGGTGAAATATTATCCTCTTTATTTCTGATTGGAGGAGAGAGAGACTGTCCTGCCACATTTCCCTTGCCAAGGGAATAATCGCCTTTCTAGAATCTCTGTTGGTTTGTAAAAATTGGTTTTGGGTTGATAGGTTTGTCAGAGGGTCCGCTTCTGCATCCATTCATGGTAATAGCAAAACTTGCATTGACTTTCTTGGAACCAGGAATCCAGGTTGTAGCTGCATTGCTCTAGAGGAAAAAGCAATCAGGACTCGTGGTAGAGATGATATCTTTTATTAGACCAACTAGATTTTTGCAAAAAACCCCAAAACTTTAATTGCAAGCTTTCAGGGACAAACACCCTTCTTCAGGCATCAGAGAAAAAAGATTGTAAAAGTTCTCCTGGGTGGAAATGAAAGGTTGACAGTTACTTCAGTGAATGATTGTACTTGTCACTTTTTTTTCTGGCCAAATTTGTCATGGGCTGGCTTCTCTAAGAACTGGTGGTCCATTCATAAGAGTCTCTGTGTAAAGCAAGCGCTTTAGTTATGTAGATGTCTTCTGTTCGTTAATTAGCTTAGTTATTTTTTTACTCTGAAATGTAGTTCAGCCAAAGGCTGTCTTCTGTATGTGTATGTATGTTTGTTTAATTTATTGTGGAGAATGTGGTGAACGTATATGCCAAATATGCAGATGCTACGTTTTCCTAATCACAAAAATATTCATTTTCTAAGTGTGAATTGCTAAGTATTCTTTGCTTACCACTGAGGAATGCACAAGTTCAAAAAGAGCAGAAACAACTGCAAACTGTTAATTTGCTCCCATTAAAAACATGCAAGGAGCTTATTTTTTTTTTATTTTTCCTTCTGCAAAAAGTTGTCTGTGATCTGGTCTCCACCTATCTGGGTTCTTTGGATGTTTTCTGGTGCAGTGAAAATCTCTAGCCCTCTTTTTTATTTTCTTTGTTTAATTCGTAAATAGTGCTTTTGTTTACATTTATTGAATTATTTTGTGCAAAACTTTTCATTTAAAAATGTTTGCATGTATCTGCTTCAAGAAAGTAAATATATCATGTAGGAAAGAACAAAGGGTAAGAATGTAAGAGACTGTTTGAATGTGTTTCTCCACCCTTTTGCTTTACTTCTGAGAATGCAGGAAGGCGGCAACTATTTTGGTCTAATTTCAGTATTTCGTGTAAGATCAGCCATGAGTGAATATTCTTCACTCATACTAACTAGAAGTGAGTAATGCTTCTATGCAGGATCTTATTCTCTTCTAAGTGCTCAGGTAACTACAGCAAAGTGATATGTAAGCCCCCAAAGCCTTTACCTATGTTAAAGTTCCCATGCTGTCCATTGAATAAGCACCTTTTAGCTTTGCGAAATCCCAGCTGCATCATATATACCATTGCACATTAGATTTGTTCCATGAATGAAGGTTATAAGGAAAGATGGAGATTCTTCCTTATAAATGAGTAATTATCTGACTCTCCCCAAACCCTAAGATCACATTTATACTTCGAGACAGCCAGTGTCTTCACTTCCCGTTGTTGCTAAAGGGTAATTACAGGTGCTCTGTACCTCTTACAATTATATCGTAAATGTTTGTTCTTTCTTGGCCTGATTCTATCTCCCTTCTTTCTGTTGAGTCCTTCACTTCCATGTGTCATTTTGTTGGGGTTTGCTGTGAGGACCAGTGACACAGACTATGCACATAGAAGTGTGAGACTCTCATGCTTAGATTTGTTTAGATGTGCCAAATGTGAAGCAACAGGATGACTTGAGAGGTCCCCATTTAGGAAATGTATTCACTGCCAACAGAATTTGTATGCTAAGGTCAGTGTTAGCTTTTTGCTAGACCTTCAGGAACTGTGCAGAGGGTCTGCAATTATTTTATGTAAATTTACAGGATGAGGAAAAAAATATACTAGATATATATGAGTTGCTACCCAGTGTTCTGCATGAAGAAACACCATAAAATTAATTTTACCCTACAAGATAATGTTTTTCAAATGTTCAGGAGATTTAGATAGATTTAGAAGATTGTCTGTAGTAACCTATTGTAATTTGAAGGACAGAGGGTGAATGAAAAATGTGGGAGTTCCTTTTGTAAAGAGTGAAGAGATTTAGATCAGGTTCTTCTATGCAAAAAACATTTTACAATAGTTTTCAGCTGGAATGTATACTGATTACAGGGACTTAACATAGAAGCTTTCTGGGACAAGTTAAGTAAGAATCCCTCAGATGCAGTCCTATGCAAGGTGGACTTACACGTATGAAAAGTCACTTCCATTCTGCTTTTCCCCAAGCCATCTGCTTACCTTGCTACCATGCTGTAGGTTACTGTTCAGTGTATATACCATAAAATGTATAGGGGATTTTCCAAAATGTTTATGCTCTAATGCATAGTCTGACATGCAGCAGATTCCCAGCTGGAGCAAACTGTAGCTTCAGTAAATCATGTGCACTACATTTCAGGTAGGGGAGCACATCCTATTAAGGACGGCTTGGAGGAATTTACCAGAACATACTACCCAGTGGTCACTATGAGTTTTAGGGGTGCTTGTACACATTTCAATAGTCTTTCTTTCTAAAGAGTATGGAGAACAGTGTTTAAAGACATTACTATTAATTAATCTGTTCAAGGCAGTGCTTCTCAACCTTTTTAGACTCAAGGCACCCCTGGGTAGATTTCAGGCATCCCTTGGAAAGTGTCAGCTCTTAGTGTTCGTTATTGTTTGCCTATGGAAAAAAATAACAGTGCAGTTTTCCTGTTGCAAAAAACTCAGAAAGACCAGCTATGCATTTCTATTTGAAATCTCTGGATTTATCTGGTGAATCATGTTTGTAAATCTAACAGTGCTACCATTGTGTGTGGCACCTTGTGACATCCTTGAAAAGATCTCAAGGCACCCTGGTTCAGAATCACGGGTTTAGGGTCTTAGGCAACTCTGGCTTGCAGATTGTTCAGCAAGGTAGTGTGGTACTAAATGCTAGTACCTGGCACAGAAAAGTCCTATAAAGCATAATATATCATTTTTTGATTTCATAGAAATACAGATACATACATAAAAATAGTTCTAAGGACTTGCAGTAAGGGTATAGGTGGGTGGGGAAAAGGTATAGTACGTATGTATTTATTATTATTGTTGTTGTTTTTGTTTTTGTAGTATGGACTTGAACCTAAGTCTCCTACATACCACCTAAGTGCCATTTTCTGGGATGGGTTTTGCTTTCATTTTGACCAGAGTCCATCTGGAACCCAAGATGCCTTTCCCAAAGAAAGTTTCATCAAACTTCATGTGTTCCGACAATGAGTTGCAGTTTTGAAGAATTAGCTTTTTCAGATGGACTCAACACATTCACACACATCACATCTTATCCCCACCTTTAGAAATGACAGTGGCTTAATGCACAGAATGTAGTCCTCTTAAGTGGCTTGTGTTTCCTTTCTGGGTAATCATGATCACTTTCTTTATCGCTTTCCTGAGAATGTGCTGCACTGAGTACTAAGTTGGAGTCATGTTTACATTTCCTTCCTGTGTAATGGCTATCATTCCCTTGAACATAGTCCAGAGGAGGTGGCCTTCCTTCATCCATGTCTGATTCAGATGACTCCTTAATAGATGCAGGTAGCTCAACATTATTAATTCCTGTCTGCTTAGCTTTGCTACTGTCCGGTGTAGAATTTAAGTTTGCTGCTGTAGGTTGCAAAGCCGATGGAGCTCCAGCTGTTGCTGCTCTCCTCTATTCAGTGCTCATGCCTGTATCTCAGAATTGGTTGATGTGACGGTGCCAAACAATATTAGGTGTCACTTGCACTGTGTAGGACAAAGAAACAGTTTTGTGCACTCACAACTGCAGGCTGCCATTTCTTTAAACCCCAGTAATCACAGGCCAGTAACTCTTGGCCTACATGTAGCTGTTGAGAGGCCCTTGTCATGGCCTGAATTATTTGGCAATTTCTAACTTGTTGCTGCAAG